CGATGCGGGACTCGATCCAGGGACTCCAGGATCATGACCTGAGCCGAAGGCAGTCGCTTAACCAACTGAGCCACCCAGGCGCCCCTGGGGGGCTTTATTTTAGATCCTACCTCCTCCTCTAAGTGCCTCGAGCAGACAGTGTCCCTGAGCTGAGCTCCTCGTCCCCGAGGCCTCCCAGTCGCCAGTTGAGGGCCCTTGAGGGTGCCCAGGAGCACATCTGAGATGCTCTGGAACAGCCTACCGGAAATGAGCTTGTTGTAATTGGTGGTAATGAGTATCTAATGACCATAATTAGGCCAGTTACAGTGCCTGGGAGGACAGGGGCTTGGTGCTGAGGGAGAGACAGAGCTGCGCTGCAGGGCATTGGCGGAGGGCAAAGCGCACTTTTTTTTTTTTTAAGTTTTGCTTTTACTCAAATATGTACATTTGCAAAAATGTCCAGTCGTAAAGAAATAAAGCTTGTAGGGTGTGATTGCTTACCATAATAGCATGGCTAACACCACAGGGCTTGGGGTATGACAGGCACGTTGTCTCCTTATTCATGGACATCTGGATGGTTTCAGTTTTTCAAAATTATGAACAGTAGAGGTAGTGTGCATCCTGTAAATATGGCATCTCTAGGTGTCAATGTTCTTGTGAGACAAACTCTCAGAACAATAATTTGAAGGTCAAAGGATATGCACTTTTTCATTGTTAATCAGCATTTCAAAACTCACCTCCAAGAAAGCCTGCACCAATACATACCTATAGACAAATGTGAGGAAAGGCTTGCGTATTCTCCGTGATTTGAGAATTTTCATTTGAGAAAGACAAGTTCCATGTGGGGTTTTTTTGGTATATTTTTAAAAACCTTCAACACTGGGTATGGTACTCGGCTTGTAATGGGCTCCCAGATGCCTGCTGTTGGGTAAAGAACAGGAGAAAGACTGCCACACGCCCTGCAGCAGCCCAGAGTTATACACGCACATGGGGCACACACAGACACACTTACCCTCACGTGCACCCACCCTCTGCGTGCACACACATGCCTTCACTAAGCCTCGTGTTCCAACCTGAGCACTCCTTTCCCTGACTTAACTAAGCCATAATGGAAGGTGAGGAGGTAGCCTCTCCCCCAACCTGCGCATCAGAGGATGCCGGGTCCTGTGTGTCCCTCTTGGCCTGCTCCTGGTCCCCCTCCTGGACCATAGGCACTTGGGGGACAGCTGCGGAATAAACCTGATACAGGAACAGAGTGTCTGCTGTGCTGTCAAAGGGCCATGCGCAGGGCCCAGCAGAGGGAAAGTTCACGAAGGTGAGTTTGGAAGGATGTCAGGCAAGTCCCTGAGGGCCAGGTGTCAGACTCTAGGTTTTATCCAAGGGTGCCCGGGAGTTGTTGTAGTCTTTGAACAGGACTGGAATGATGAACACAGTGTTTGAAGGTGGTCAGCTTGCAGGTGTGCACGGTGGATGGGGCAGAGAGAGGGATTTCCTCCGCGGATCGTGGAGGGCAGGGGAGGGGTGAGCGCAGCAGGACCCAGGAATGGCATTAAGGGAGAGGATGGATGGTGAGTTGATTGAGGAGGTAGAATCAGTAGGATTTGAAAACAGAGGGACCTGAGCAGGAGGGCATCCATTATCTACTCTGGGCAAAGAGAGATTAGGGGAGCAGGGGACTGTACCAAGACCAGGCGGTACAGGTTAATTGTAGAGCAGACTTAGGGCCCGTCCAGGAACCCCCAGCCGCTTAGCTTCAGCTGGCGTCTGCAAGGACCAGATGAGGGTATGTGCGCCCCAGGAGCCCCGTCCTGGTTGAGCACGGGAACTAAGATTCACTTCCAGTGCCCTTGAAGATCACGTAAGGTTGTGATGGAGGCACTGATGGAGGGTCCCTCTCCCTCAGCTCTTTCAGAAAGCACCTCCCTGCGACCCAGAGGGACTGAGTCCCCACACATGAGGAAAATTCCTACAAGGATACCTTTTGAGCTCCTTCAGTTTTCACAAGTAAATCTATGACAGAAAAGGTCAATCCATGGGGCGCCTGGGTGGCTCAGATGGTTAAGCGTCTGCCTTCAGCTCAGGTCATGATTCCAGGGTCCTGGGATCGAGCCCCACATCGGGCTCCTGGCTCAGCGGGGAGCCTGCTTCTCCCTCTCCCTCTGCCTCCGCCCCTGCTCATGCTCTCTCTCTCTCTGTATCTCTGTGTCTCAAGTGAATAAATAAAATCTTGAAAAAAAAAAAAGGTCAATCCTTTATGCAGGGAACAGGAAAGGGACAAGTGATACATAAATATCTCTGCTAGGGCTCTACTCCTTTTTCATTTGAACATTTAAGTCTGTTAGTAGCTGATAGTAGGGAAGGAGCCTGTTCCCAAGAAAACACTTTAAACTTTGTTCTTCTGGGAAGTCAGAACTAGATGCACATCATCACCTCCTTCCCAATCCCCTGCCTCCTCCCTCCCCTCAGGGCCACTCCTCCGCCCCCCATGATTGTCCACTTGTTGCTTTCTCTGTGGTCACAGACACTTCTTCTGTCACTGAAGAAACAAACAAAATTCAGCTCCTGCAAGACCACCCTCCTCGGCTCTGAGCCTCGCTCTGCAGCCCCTGCAGCAGGCTTTCCCTCCCTGCACTGCCTGGCTCCCACGGTCCTCTGGAGCTTTCTAGTCAGCTTCTACCCCACCAGACCCTACAGCGCTTTTGCAGAGGTTAACAGCAGTCTCCTAATGACTAAGCCCTTCACGGTAGTCACCCCCGTGACTACTTCTGGTTCTTCCTTGACCTACCTGATCATTCGTTCCATCTCCTCCTTTGCCTATCCCTTATGTTGGTTTTCCAGCATTCAGAGGCCATGGCCTACTTCTCATAAGTAGAGCTGCGTGCACAGGTGGATACATAGAGATGTCCCAAACACACCACATGCAGATGACACATGAGTATCTGTCTCCCACCCAAACTGGTCCGTCCATCCCCAACTCCCAGTAAGCAGCTACCTCGCATCTGTGCTTGGCCGGGTCAGGGACTCAGGATGGGTCAGGCCACTCTGCACACTGTGCTTGGGAGAATGGGGTGCCATCCGTGATGCTGCCCATATGACCTGGGGAGTTGCCCTGGCCTCTTTTTCTCACACCCATATCCGGTGCTCAGGGATCCTGGGGACTCTCCCTCTGGCTGTCCTGTGTCCACCTGGACAGTGGCAGCTCTCCCCACTGTCTCCTCTGCCCATCCAGCCCTGCCCCCAGTGGGTGCCCCCTCTTAGCCCAGCTGAGGCCCAGCCTCCCAAGTTTTAGGGCCAAATGTCTTGTTTTTCTGTTTAAAATCTCTAAGTGGATTAGTTCATCTTTTCTGGTACCCTCTAGATCAAGCTTTACCTCTCTGACTTTTTTTTTTTTTTTAAGATTTTATTTATTTATTCGAGAGAGAGTGAGAGAGAGAACTTGAGAGGGGGGAGGGTCAGGAGAAGCAGACTCCCTGCTCAGCAGGGAGCCCAATGTGGGGCTCGATCCTGGGACTCCGGGATCATGACCTGAGCCGAAGGCAGACGCTTAACCAACTGAGCCACCCAGGCGTCCCTCCTGACTTTATAGCAACAGTTGCCCTCCCTGACATACATCGTCACAACACAGCCCTGTACTGACACCAGGCTGCCGTTCACATTCATGTTCACGCCTGTGCTCATGTGAGCATCTGGAACTGTGCCCTCCCCTCCCTTCTAGACACACGGCTCAGGGCTTTGGGCTTCTCCAGTCCCGGGTGCCACCCCAAACCTGCCCCGCCCAGGTCTCCCATGGGTGCCCGGCTGTGGACTCTTAAGTTCCGCCCACATGGCTGCGCTGAACGGTGGCCTGTGTGCACTCCCTGGACTACAGGCCTGTGTGGCACCTGGACCACTGTCAAAGTGGGTAACTCGGTGTCTCTTACCAGATAAAAGGAAACTTTCCTTTCCCCTCAGGGGTTCAGATATGATGCCAGTGCTAATCACCTGTTGTGGTTGTTTTCCCTCGGACAGTGGACACTGATTCGGTCTCATCTCTCTTATCTAGTGTTAAGCATCCATGGCATTCAAGAAGAAGGTCCCCCCAGTGCTCAGCTCATGAGGCTGGATAACATGCTGCTGGCCGAGGGTGTATCCAGGCCGGAGAGGCGAGGAAGAGGAGGATCGGCGGCAGCGGCCAACACAGCAACACCAGGTGGCTGTCCAAATGACAATAGCCTTGAGCACTCTGACTACAGGGCCAAGCTGTCCCAGATCCGACAGATTTACCACTCTGAGCTAGAGAAATATGAACAGGTGATCTTTCTGCATGGAAGAGTTTCTATCATGTGAATGCACATTTGTCAAAGCAAAACATGGAACGCTAACCACCTTTCTTTTGTGGCACAGACCAGAGAGTACATGCACTTGGTCTCATGGCAGAGGTGGCCGATTTTGCTGGAAACCCTTTGCATTCACTTCTCAGTAGCCAGCCTGTGTGGGAGCTGCGGGGTGGGCGGCAGGTGGTTGGTCCCGCGTGGAGCCCCGAGCCAGCCTGCTGGGTAGTCACAGGCTGGCACGTGTGTCCCCACCCCAGGCCTGCCGTGAGTTCACCACGCACGTCACCAACCTTCTCCGGGAGCAGAGCAGGATGAGGCCTGTCTCGCCCAAGGAGATCGAGCGCATGGTCAGTGTCATCCACGGCAAGTTCAATGCCATCCAGATGCAGTTGAAGCAGAGCACCTGCGAGGCTGTGATGACCCTGCGTTCACGGTTCCTCGATGCCAGGTCAGGCCCTACATACTGCCCATGACCCCAGGGTTGGCTCTTAAGAAGAAGAACCAAATTGCAGCTGGCTTGGGTTTAAGTTCTGGGGGCCTCCCAGCCTGTCCTGGGGCTCCAGCTGTGGCCAGGGGTGCAGCCCTCACACAGCCTCTTGGGAGGCGATCAGAAGTGCTGACCTTGGGGCACCTGGGTGCTCAGTGGGTTAAGCATCTGCCTTCTGCTCAGGTCATGATCTTGGGGTCCTGGGATCGAGCCCCGCATCAAGCTCCCTGCTCAGCGGGAAGCCTGCTTCTCCCTCTCCCCCTGCTTGTGCTCTCTCTCTCTCTCAAATAAATAAAATCTTAAAAAAAAAAAAGCGCTGACCTCTAGGAAATCACATATGGGGACACAGGGGCGTCCCTAGAGGCTGGGGTGCACGCTGGCTGAGGCTGAGAAGATGGGTCTTTGCAGGCGCAAGCGGCGGAACTTCAGCAAGCAGGCCACCGAAGTGCTGAATGAGTATTTTTACTCCCATCTGAGCAACCCTTACCCCAGCGAAGAAGCCAAAGAAGAGCTGGCCAGGAAGGGCGGCATCACAGTGTCCCAGGTGATGGGCCTCCCTGCATGGAGGAGGGGGAGAAGGTCGTGTCCAGTGAGGAGGATGCCCAAGGAAGTTCATTAACTGTGTGGAGCCCGTGGGTGGAGTGTGAGGTCCCTGAGGCAGCATCAGTGGAGTGTAGAGTCTGGCCGTCGGGACTGAGCACCACAGTTGTATAACAGCAATGTCGTGTGCTGCATGAGAGAGCTGAGCACGTGTTAGCAAGGAAGAGAAAAACAGCTTGGAGCAGAATTAGGACTGAAAGTGATAGACCAGCTCTCATGCCAGAGTACCAGTTCAGCTGTACTGGGAGAAGTTCGGATGCATGCATGCTTGATTGTTTCTCCAGAGGTCCAGAGCACGTGGCAGGGTTGTGCAATACCGGGCAACATCTGGCTCCACGTGGAGGGTGGGTGGGGGTACAGATTGGAGATGAGACCTGGACAGCCTTGGGAGGCCCTGGCAGTCTGGACCTCCAGTGTCCTCAGTGGAACTGGAAGCAAGGGAGGGGGACCTGAGGGGAGAACCCAAGAAACATCTCAGAAGGTTTTAAAGTGGGAATGGTGGGGTGCCTGGGTGGCTCAGTCATTAAGCGTCTGCCTTCGGCTCAGGTCATGATCCCGGGGTCCTGGGATCGAGCCCCGCATCGGGCTCCCTGCTCCGCGGGAAGCCTGCTTCTCCCTCTCCCGCTCCCCCTGCTTGTGTTCCCTCTCTCGCTATCTCTCTCTCTGTGAAATAAATAAATAAAATCTTAAAAAAAAATAAAGTGGGAATGGCGAGTACAGGCGGCTCACGGGGCAGGGGCAGGCCGCACTCCCGGGGCAGCACCCCCCGAGCCTCTGGCAGCAGGGCCGACCATGCCAATGCTAGGCCACTGATCCTCACCCACTGTGCACTTGAAGAGTTTCCAGCCCAGTCTGGCTGCCTCCAGAGCCCGTGCCCTTAGCCAGACTGTGTCCCGGCCCCGGCCAAGTCCAGCTGCGACAAGTCCCGGGCCCCCCCGGCAGCAGAACCTTGCAGGTGTCGCAGTCCCATCTGACTTCCATCACCCTGGACCGCTCTGGCGTCCTCGGCACCGAGGCCAGCGCTGAAGCGAGGGGCGCACCTCTGGGGCCTCCAGGCCCCGAAGAAGCGTGAGGCGCCACAGCTTGTCTGCTACCTCGTGCAGCTGAGGAACAGCCCAATTCGTTTCAGGCTCTGGCGCCCCTGGAAGGCAGATGGGTGTTGGGTCTAGACTTCATCTGAGGAGAGGGTCAGCTGCCAACAAAAGTTGGAAAAGCACTAGCCACGTTCCAGTGACTTCCCCTCTCTGGTCGGGCCCTAAGACTACCCCCGACACACACACCGACCAGCAGCAGAATTCTGTGCTGGGAGCCCCTTCCCCACGGTGGCGGGTCCACCAGGTCTCGGGATAGCATGAAATGGCTGACAGTTGAGGGGGGGCTCTGAATTTAGGGTGCAGATGTGCAAGCTGGGAGGTCCACCTAAGGAGAAGGTAATGGGGGCACCCTGAGGGCAAGGGGTATCACACGTGAGGCCACAGACATTTTCAAGATAGGATCAGCTGCTGCTGCAGCTGAGGCGTGAGGGAGAAAGGAGCAGGGTTGCCGAACCATGGATGGGGAGTCGGGCGGAACCTGGGCACCAGCTGCAGCAGGCTTGGCCGGATGGGCCAGAGAGACTGGGCAGGGGCGGCTGGTGGCTCCGGGCCGCACCTACGGAGAGGGTATCTGAGAGCCTGGGCCGTGTCCGCACCTGCTTGACGTGCCCGTGTTGGGGTGCTCCCCATGGACAGGGCGGACACTGGCCCAGGACCAGCTCTCCCCCGGCCCCTGGGTCCCCCATCTGCCCAGAACAGGGCCAGCCTCCCTGCCTCGCCCACATGGGAGGCTTGCTGTCTGCCCCCCTAAAATGCCAGTTGAGTTACCATGGAAAACTGCTTGCTGCCATTCCTCTGCAGACTCAGTTCCACAAAGATGTTCCAGCACATTCCTTGTACGTAGAGGGAACCAAGTGCTGCTCTGGCCACCCTCACACCCGGGGGCAGGTGGGAGGAGAGACTGCGAGGGGCAGGAGCACACACGGGGCTTTTTCGTTTCATGGCTAACGTGGGGAAGATAACGTGGAGCACCTGGGTAGAGACATTAAAGAAATACATTTTCAAAAAAGAAAAGATCATCAAAACCCTGCCACTGTTACTTCTGTTGGTTAAACCACACATCCGTCACTGCAGGGCCCCAGGCCTTACTTTGGGATATTGAAGTGTTTCCAGTCGTGCCCGTCTCCATAGGAAGGCACTGGCCCAGGGGCTTACTGATTCTGTCCCCAGGGGAAATTTTCATTGTCACAACCCTTGGGTGGGGTGCTGCTGGCATCTGGTGGGTGGAGGCCAGGGGTGCTGCTCAGCACCCCACAGCGCCCATGACGGCCCCGCAACTGAGAACAACCCCGGGGAGAAGTCCTGGCCTGGTCCTGGTGCAGGTTTGGGGTCAGCTGGGCTCAGCCCCGCTCGGCCCCGGGGCTCCTGCACCTGCCGAGCCTGCTGGCGTATAGGACGGCTGTGACCGCGGCTGTCCCCAGCTGCTCCGAGGACGTGACAGGCACTTAGCTCAGCGCTTGGCTCCTTCCCACTGCCCTCTCAGTTTGTCCATCCGTGTTTTCCTTTGAGAAGTTGTGGATCTGGTGTGGTCTTTCCTTAGACTGAATTCCCAGGAGTGGGGTTACTGGGTCCCCGGGGACGCGTGGCTCCCTGGCTCTCACTTTCCCTAAAGATCAATCCAGAATTTAGTCTGTTCCTGCCCCTGCAGGGAATGGACGCTCGGCTCTCCACATGTCAGACATGCTGTTTCCTTCCAGCTCCTTCCCGCTCCTGTCCCAGCAGCACCTGGTAGGACAGGCCGGCTCGGGGTGACCTCCACCCACTGTGGCCATTCCCTTGGGTCCACGGTTCAGTCAGCGCCGGCTTCTCGGTCCCGGCCTCTTGCCCAGCCCCATTGCTTCGTGTTGCCACTCAGAGATGTTCCTCCTGGCCGTGGGAGCACGGGTACCTCAGAGAGAGCCCACCATATGTTCACGTTATCTCATTACTGGGTCAGCTTTTCCAGCGACTTCTTTCTCTGTGTGTCCACAGGTCTCCAACTGGTTCGGCAACAAAAGAATCCGATATAAAAAGAACATGGGGAAGTTTCAAGAAGAGGCTACCATTTATACAACTAAAATGGAAGTTGACGCCACCAAAGTCGGGGGCCTGGGGAGCCAGGCTAGCTGCCCATCAACACCCAGCCCCGGTGAGTGAGACTTCCCAGCCCAAGGACTGTCCTTCATGCATGGCCGCTGAGCTGCGCGGGAAGGGGCTGCGGGAGACCTTCTCTCTGGAGCTGAGGCCGGTGGGAGCCACATTCCTGGCTGAGGGGCTGGCAGATCCCACCTGAGGAGCCTCTGTAACTTTGGGGGCTGGAACACTTGTCCTGACACCTCCCACCCCTTCTAGGTCCCTCTGGTCCCTTCCCGCTGACCAGTGCCGGGGATGCGCTTATCACCCTGCAGACACTGGCCTCTCTCCGCCCCGCCCCTGCGGGAGGCAGCTTGCGGTCCCAGGTGAGTCTCAGGGCACAATCCAAGGATGCCCTTGGGGTCCCTGACTCAGTGTTGGGGCAGAGATGCAGAGCCCAGGTGGGTGGTGGGTCCTGGGAATGGGCCATCTTGCCAGCCACCTCTCAGCCTCCACGAGGCTCTCTCAGAGGTGCCAGCAATGAGGAAGGGCCCACTGGGTACTTGGTTTGTTGTCTTGATGACTACAGGTTGGCCGAGTGGCCTCAGGGGCATGGCTCTGTGGGGCCCACTTTGCAAAGACCTGCGCCCTTCACTCCCAGTCCCAGGACTCAATAACTCCCAGTAGCTGCTGAGTGGTGGGCCCGAGGCAAGGGCTGTGGCTGTTGGGAAGGAGCCCTCCCTCCCAGCGGGCATCTGGACCCTCAGTGGGGGGAGGGGACAGGCAGACAAGGCCCTGACCATTGGAACATGGAGCCCTACTAGGCTCAGACCCTCCACCACATCAGTGCCTTGGCCTTGCCAGCCTGCTGTCCCCTCACCCGGGGCCCAGCTAGGCCAGAGTGAAGATCCATTTTGGTGACTGGGAAGAAAATGAGCCAGGGATCACGGGCATCTCAGACATGCCCTCTGGAACTTTCTCAGGGTGTTAGGCAGTGTGTTGGGCTAGCCAGGATTGGGGGCCCCTATCCCTCTCATGGCCCCTGGTGCCTCCCCAGCATCCCGCCGTCTGTCACCAGGGCCTGGCCCACAGGCAGGGTCATCCTGAAGAGGCCGCACAGGTAGAGCTGTGATGTGTCCATGCGGGGGCAAGGCTGGGTGGCATCGGCAAGGCCTTAGCCCACCTTTTCCTTCACAGGAGTGTACCCTACCGTGCCGGCTGACCCCACTGATTCACCCGCAGCCCCTAGTTGGTGCAGGGAATGGATGCCTGCTGGGGCCATTTGGCAGGACCTGGTGCAGGGCGATGCATCGCCACGGTAACCCCACAGCCCATTGTGAGCACCTGGGCAGAGCAGGGAGCTCTGGCGCCACCAAGTGGCCCAGCCTCGTCTTGCTCTGTGCCTTCCTGGGGCTCAGTGCCTCAGCTATGATGGGTGTGAGTATGAGAGTGGGGAGCTGATAGACTAGGTCCATCCTTACCCCTAGAACCAGCCTCAGGAGATCTGGAGCTGCCTAAGTCCCGATGGGGCTTCCCTGGACCATGAGGCAGGGTCCTACCCGCCCCACAGAGGAAGTGGAATGTCCTTGGTCTGGTGCTGGGGGGGCACAGTTGCTCTTTCAAGAGAGCCGTCCCGAGGGCTGAGGCCGCCTGGCCGGAAGCTATCGCCTCCACCCTGTGACCCGAGGAACGTCTGGGCTGCCCTTTGGCTGCCAGTCCCACACCTGGACACTAGCCTGTCACCCCTCAGTCCTGTGGACAGACCCCTCCCTTCACCACCCATGGCCCCCTTCCCAGAACACAGGCCTGCGGGTGTCCTTCAAGGGCAGGGTGTCCCCCTGAGGCCGGTGCTCATCACAGCCTCTTCCAGTCGGAGGGGCCGGGCACCCCCGTGTCACGGGGTGAGGCAGCCCTCTCAGGAATACAGCAGTCTGTCCGTCTGTTCACGTGACCCTGGCCTCTGAAGTGCAGGTGCTGTGACAGTGCTGGGGGACACGTGGCGAGGGAACAGCTGAGGCGGGGAGGGGCGGGGGCAGGGTCCTTGACCTGGTGGGATCAGATGAGGTAGAGGGCACCAGCCGGAGGGCTCAGTCTGTAAGGGAAAGTGCTAGAGACAGGAAGGGAAGGAGGAACTCGTGTGGCCGCCTGCCAGCCCAGGAGGAGCCGAGTGAGCCCTCAGGGTCACATGCAGGGTGTGACATCTGCACACCTGGGAGCAGGTGGCTCGGACGGAAGCCACCCTGCAGCGCGGGTTGGGAAGGGGAGTGGCCCTGCTCTCGTGGGCTGCAAGCAGGCCTCACCACGGAGCAGACCGCCCTCGAAGAGCCATTTTCAGTGATGTTTTCCATTGCAGTTGGTGGGGGGGGGGGTCCTGTGGACAAACATCCTAAGGCCGTGTGTACCCGCCACTGTCCCCACACCGCAGACAGAGCCCCTGTGCCTGGGAACTGTGGCTGCTACCCTTCTGGCTGCCCAGGCAGACCCAGTGTCCAGCCGGGTTTCCAAGCCCGTCTGGCTCACTGCCTCCGGCCATGATGATTCAGGGACCGTCATCAGCTCCAGGCCGGACTGGGTCTGTCTCCCCCTCAGAATGTGCAGAAGCCTTGGCTGCACCACAATGCCACATCAGTCCTTGACCAGAGCCCTGGTGGGTGGCCAGTGGAGCCCCCTTCCTGCTGGGGAAGCGCGTCCCTATCAGGGCTCAGGCGGCAAGGCCAGCTGTGACCCAACAGGGCCCCTCAGTGCCTCCGCTGGCTCCTGGCTCCTTTTCTGGGTTCTTCTCGGGGGATGTGGGGGTGGAGCGGGCCATCCGTGGCCTTCTGATGCTCAGTCTCTGTCTTTCAGGCCCGGGGCAGCTACCAGGGAGCCGCCCCCCCAGTGTCCGCCGCTTCGCCTGCTGGAGACCCCGGCAGCGTCAACTCAGACGCATCTAATTAAGTTTTGGGGACGAGCAGAAAAGCAGACCGGGTGGCCTGCCGTGGTTTGCGGGCACTCGAGTCTTTACTGCGCGTGCAGCTGATTATTACCTCAAAAACCCAGAAGCGCAGCAGGCGGCGGGTGCCATCCTTTGCTTGCCGGCCGGGCCCTGAAATGGGCTGAGATGCTGCTCATTTTCTCAATTCAGTTTGGTTTTTTAATAGTAATTTTATGCTAAGACTGTGAATTGTTTCTTCTAGGACTTGTCACAAAGTCTCCCATTAAAGTTTTGGACTTATTTTCACGTCGATGTTGTTCACACCAGATTTGTTCCTGGCGATGGCAGTGCGGGGCGGGGCCGGGTGGCGCGGTGTTGGCGTTGCAGTTCTGTCCTCTCCTGTGTCCCTTCATGCGCCGGTCCCCCGGACACTGCCTTCCCCACTCTCTTCTGTCGCCTCATTCCATATGCTCTTGATTTCCGCCTGCGGTGAGCTCCGAACTTCCCGGGGCGTTGGGTTTGTATTTTTTTCTGTTAATAGAAGTTCTACCATTCTTCACTGACACGCTGGCCAGGGTTTTCCTCCAGTGAATGAAGCGCCAAGGCAGGAGCCTCTTGGCCTCGGCGCTGAACGTTTAGCTGGTTCCCATTTTACAGCTGTGGCCCATGGTGCCGCTCAGCTCGGTGTCTCTGTCCCTGGCTGGGTCTGCTCAGGTGCCAGCTGAGGACCAGCCCTGCACGTGCTCCGGGCTTTCCTCCTCGCAAGGCTTGATTTGGGTTTTCTGTCGTCTGCAGCCGGAAGGTGGCAGCTGACTCGCTCCCCTGTCTGAGGTGCCGGTCCTCACGTCCAGCCAGCCCGCCTCCTGGCTTCCTGCAGCCCAAGATTCACTGACAGACCAGGGCCCTGCTTGAGCGAAATGACATTCCAGAGAAAAAAAAGAGAAGAAACATGACCAGAAGTCTGGGGTGGGCTCAGGGCCAGCCTCTGGGGGAAGGTGCCTTTTTCCCCTTTCTTTTTTGCTTGCTTCCTTCCTTCCTCCTTCCTTCCTTCCTTTCTTAGAGCACAGTGGGTGGGGAGGGGCAGAGGGAGAAGCAGACACCCTGCTGAGCAGGGAGCCCAACTCGGCCTCAATCCCAGGACCCTGGGATCATGACCTAAGCCGAAGGCAGATGCTTAACCCACTGAGCCACGTAGGTGCCCCTCTCCTTTCTTTTTACAAATTGTGATAAAATATATGTAACATAAAATTTGCCATTTTAGCCATTTTAAGAGAAGAATCCAGTGGCATGGATTACATTCACAACGTGATTGTGAAATCACCACCTGTATCTAGTTCCAGAACATTTCCTTCACTCCAAAGGATACCCAGTCCCCACGAGCAGTCACTCCGCAGCCCCCTCCCCCAGCCCCTGGCAAGTACCAATCTGCTTTCCGTGTCTATGGACTTGCCTGTTCTGGACGTTTCCTGTCAGTGGAATCATACACTCTGTGGCCTTTTGTGACAGGCTTCTCTCACTCAGCATCAACGTTTGCGAGGTTCACGTTGTGGCGTGTGTCAGGGCTTCATTCCGTTTTATGACAATAGCCCACCGGAGAAGGTAGCTTTGAGACGAGACCTTAGGGAGGTGAGCCAGGGGGCGTGCAGAAGGCGGGGCGGGGAGGCTGGGCACTGGCCTAGGTGCCCACACAGCTGGGACGGGCGAGAGGGGCCAGCCGGTTCAGTGGGCGCCACGGGGGCTGGGTCTTCACAGGCCTCCCAGCTGTTGAGCAGAGAGCCGACTGCGGG